CTACATTACCTACATAGCTATGTACAGTGTCACGTCCTCAAGGTCAGTGAAGACCTTAGCTACTGGAAAAGTTCAGATAATCACAAAAAAACAAACGACTGAAGATAAGAAGTTTCCTTTATCTATTCACCTACAAACTTCACCTTAATCCTAATCCTAATCCTGAGCATCTCCCTTCGACATAATCTGAACAACCGAAGCCAAACAAAATAACTTAAATAAAGTAATCCCAGTCGCTACCTAATCCGAGGAACCTAAGGATGCCTAAGACACGCCCAACACACACTGCCAGGCTGGGCTGACTTACCTGGCACTCGAGATGAACGGTGTCACCCTCCTCCACCGCCGTGCCAGGCTGCCACCGCACTCGGGGCAGACCGCCGGCGCCTCGCACACCTGCCGGGGAAGGGGGGGGAGGGGAGAGAAAGGTCTTAGTCATCTTCTCTCATTTTCATCTGGGCTTCATCTCAGGGAAACATTGATATATAATAATAATAATAATAATAATATCAATAATAATAATAATAATAATAGTGATGATGATGATGATAATAACAACTATCATAATAGTAATAATAACAATAATAATGATAATAATGATGGTAATAACAAGTAATAATAATAATAACAAAAAGAACAATGACATCAATAATAATGATCATCATCATAACATTAATAACAATACTAATAAGGATAATGATAATCATCATCAGCCTCATCAATATCATCATTACTAGCATGATTATCCTCTGTAACTATCATTATCCAATACATGTATCATTTATAACATCACAACTTAAGATCCTTAAAATAAGAAAAGACGAAAAAAAAACGAAACACTCGGAGGTCATTTCTCCACCGTGTTATCAAGTCCCCCGGCTGCGGGTCTTGGCTGAGGCTGAGATACAAATACTGTTATAAAAAGCGATAACTTCTGATTCGGTTACGGCGTATAATAACATTTTTTCTTTTCTTCTATTTTCAATTTTTTTTTCTTCTATTTTCGATTTACTTTTTTTTTCATTTTTTTTCTTTTCTGCCATTTTCCTATTTTATTTTCGACTAAAGTAGCATTCACACCTGAAGAGAGAAAAAGAGGGGGGGGAAAATACTAATGGCGAAAACGAGGAGAAAAATAGGAGAATTTTTTTTTTGGGGGGGGGAAGAAGAGAAATAGAAAAGTGGAAGATAGAGGGTTTAGAGGAAAAAAGGAGATGGAGAAAGAGAAGAAGAAAATGGTGGAGGTGATAAAGGAACTGAAAATAGAGAAGGAAGAAATGACTGGTGGTGGAGGAGGAAGTGAGAGAGATGGAGGAGGAGGATGGTGGTACTGGTGGAGACGAAAGGGTGGAGGAGAAAGACTTGGAAGAATAAGGAAAAGAGGTGGTGGTGGTGGAAAAGGAGATGGAACAAGGAATGAATGGTGGAGGGAGGAGGGGGAGGAAAAGGAGGAGGGGGAGGAGGAGGGGGAGGAGGAGGAGGAGGAAAAGGAGGAAGAGGAGGAAAAGGAGGAGGAGGAAGAAGAGGAGGAACAGGAGGAAGAGGGGAAGGAGGAAGAGGAGGAGGAAGAACAGAAGGAGGGGGAGGAGGAAAAGAACAAGAAGTAGAAGAAAAGGCGAGATAGGAAGAGAAGGAGAAGGAGAAAAAAACAGAACGGAAAGAAATGAAACCTTCAGAGCTAAGACAGAAGAGAAGCAGAACATAAAAAAGAAGGAATAAAATACAGAAAAAAAGAAAAAGAAGAGGACGAAGTGGGAAAAAAAAATCCAACGAGAACCAGACATACCATTCCCTCCTCCCCCCCCCCCCCCTTCCTCGACAGCAACAGGGAGCACGATTAGCTGTTGTCCGGGCTAAACTAACCTGTCGAAGCGGCCAATAAAAGACGGCGGTTCGCACTGAGACAACCAATCAATATCGGGTTTACGAGGGACGCCGCTGCATATAACAGGAGTTCTGGGATCAACGAGGGAGGTAAAAGGAAGAAAGAAAAAAAAAAAGGGAAGTGGAAAGGGGAAAAAAGGGAAGAATGCGCGAGAAAACAAAACAGAACAGAAAATAAAATAAAGCTCACTCTTCTTGTCTTTGGGAGTTGTTTTCTTTAACAAGTGGCTATGGACAGATTTTTTGCATGTATACAGTACGTATTTGGATCAAATTGATTTTTGTTTTTGTATATGAACTCAACACCTAAAATGTAAAAAAAAAGAAAAAAGAAAAAAGAATATTTATAGTAAAAGATAAAAATATGCAAAGAAAAAAATCGCCATTGCATATCGCTCCTGCATTAACAGCGACCTTTTTTGGAAACTGAATGAAAAGAAATAAACATAAAGCGGTTGAACGTGCGATGCTTATCAGATTTCATCGAGGGTTACAATCAGACACACAGCCACACACGCACGCACTCACACGATCTCCCTTACAGGCATGGACGCACGCGCACACACACACACACACACACACACACACACACACACACACACACACACACACGTGCTCGCGCTCACATTTTAGTAATATAGTACACATTACACAGACACGCAGTGTTTTCAGTGTATATACGGAGCCGGATTTACTGACCCTTCATAGAGTAAGTAAATGAATAAATTTGAGAAAATAATAAAATAAAATAAAATTGAGAAAATAATTAAATCAATTTCAGAAAATAAGTAAATAAATTAATACATAAAATGGACGAAATCCATGAACCGAAGGCCGATGGAATACCTCCCGCCCGTTCTTCGCGCCTAAACCTCCAACACCTCGTTATTGAGGCCAGCGTCACGTCGTGCCGCTTCAGTCCGCTGAAATCCGAATAAAAAACGATTGGCGAGGTCGACGAAACAAGCAATTCCTTCTCCTGCTTTGGAGATCCGATCGGGGAAAAGAGCAAGCGCAAGCAAGCCCGGAACCACGACTACAAAACGCACCTTGTTCTCCACGACCTTCCTCTTCCCTTAACGACCTCCTCCTCCTCTCCTAACGACCCTTCTGAGGGCAACACCTTCACCCTGATTGCCTCATCACGATCGCTTAATGAGGATGTACAACAGTAGGTCAGTTTTCCCGCCAAAACCCCCTGCCAAGTCACGTGACCTTCCCCGCACAGAAAAAGGGTTGATTTATGAGAGCCGTGATGTCTAGAGAGATTTATCTGGAAGAGGGATATAGAAAATATATATATAAATAACTTAGAATGTATAGCTACCTTTGTGGGTTCTCTTCCTACTTTACTTTTTTTCTGCTATGAAGAATTATATCTCGGGTTGTGGTCCACGCGGTGCAGCGGAGCATAAAATCTTTCATCCTTTACATATGTCCGTGTCTAATCATTCTACGCATATCCAGCGCACGCGTTGAGAATACTAAACAACACAACCACCTCAGGGGAAAAAAAACAGCAAATACAAAATATCCGAAACGCAAACACATAAACCAAAAAAAAAAAAAAAAAAGGCCCAAACAAAATCGAGCGAAGCGAAGAGGAAAAACAAATGAAGTGGCAGAAGCGACGCCAGCGACAAGCATACAAGGGAAGGAGACTTGGATTCCAGACAACAACAACTTCCAGTCAGGTCCTGGACAACCCAACCCAACCCCCCCTCCCTTCCTCCTCCTCCTCCCTCCCCCCCCCTTGTGCCGCACCAGCCCGACAACATGCAAAGTTCCCCCCCCCCCTCCCCCCTCACCTCCCGATGGCGCCATGGGGTGAACGATAAGGTCGTAGCATAATGAAGGCCCGCCATATATGCCGTCGGGAGAGGAGGGGGAGGGGGGGACCACGACCCCCCACTGGTAACTGCGGTGACGGCCGGCAGAGGGCACAGGGGGTGCTGAATCTTGTAGATTTTTTGTATTAATTTTCTTGCACACATAGATTCATATCTGAAAATCTATCTTCCGCATTTATCTACTTTTCTATATAAATGGATGAAATCATATTAAGTGTGTATGCATGTATACATAAGTATGAGCAAGAGAGAGAAAGAGAAAGGGAAAGGGAACAAGAGAGAGGGAGAGGGAGGGAGAGAGAGAGAACGAGAGAGAGAGAGAGAGAGAGAGAGAGAGAGAGAGAGAGAGAGAGAGAGAGAGAGAGAGAGAGAGAGAGAGAGAATAACAAATGTCAAAAAAAGAAAAAGAAAATAAAAGGGGGAAATAAGTGCGAAGAAGGAAAACGAAAAAAAAAAATCTCCCACCATGACCAAGCGCCCCCTCCCCCCTTTCCCCCCCGGGCCCATCATCACCATCGCGCCCGCCATAAAAACGTCGCCACCAAGTAGTGATTACCAAACCATTAGAAGGGAAAGAGGCAGAGGGCAGGGGGGGAGGGGAGCAGGGGGGGAGGGGGAGGGACGGACATAAGTAGAGTGATAGGAGAGGAGGAGCGCCTCTTCGCCAAAGGACATGGCTTCGGCTGTTATCTTTTCCTCGCGATAATCTGGCGAGCGGCGGGCCTGTCCCTGTCGGCACCGTGCTATCGGGCTGATGAACCGACAGATAGCGGAGGCGGAGTCGTTGGGGGAACTGAATAAATTATGATGACGGTCAAAGATTTGCAGTAGAGTACGTAATTATGTAGACTGGCGAGGATGTAATAACAAATATAAATGTGGGTATCTGTTTCTTTACAGTTTTCGTAAAGTTCCCTATTGATCGATATCAGTAGAGTGGGTTAACAGAAGCATTTAGCAGAAAAAAAAAAAAAAAAAAAAAAACAATCGAAACCAAAACTAAAAAAAAAAAAAAAAAAAACATAAATAGACGATCCCTCCCTCTTGCCACACTTGAGAAATGACTGACAGTTCTTACGCTGCTATTTCTAACCCCGCTGACAGGGTCCTGCCCGCCTGACGCTAACTGCAGGGAATGTGTCAACGCTGCCAACCGTGGCCTCCGACGCCGCCCATATATCTGAGGAGGTCTACGCTAGGTGTCGGGGCGTGAAAAGGGCACGGGCGTCACGACAGGGAGGGGGGAGGGGAGGAATACGGGGCGGGGGAGAGGGGAGGGAAGGTAAGTGTGTGTGTCGGTGTGTATTTGAGTGTATGTGTGTGTGTGTGTGTGTGTGTGTGTGTGTGTGTGTGTGCATGTGTCCGTGAGTGAGTGAGTGAATGTGAGTGCTTGAATAAGAGAGAGAGAGAGAGAGGGGGGGGGGGGAGAGAGCGAGAGAGAGAGAGAGAGAGAGAGAGAGAGAGAGAGAGAGAGAGAGAGAGAGAGAGAGAGAGAGAGAGAGAGAGAGAGAGAGAGAGAGAGAGAGAAAGAGAAGACAGGAGAAAAGAGAAGACAAGAGAGAAGAGAGAAGAGAGAAGAGAGAAGAGAGAAGAGAGAAGAGAGAGAGAGAGGGGGGGTAAGGTGAGAGAAAAAAAAAATCATACTGTTACTGTGAGACACTT